ATAAGTCAATGTAGTCATATCAAAGATATGATGTAAAGAAATTATTTAAACAATGATTTTTTTAAATTTTTCGTAAATGAATTGATAACTTTATGCTTGGAGAAATCAATACTTTTCGTCGAATTTTTAAAATATCGTCAGACAGTAGCTCCCAACACGTTTCCCATAATTATTCTATTGAATCAATTCAAATCATATAATATGCTTTAAAATCTACACTAATATCTATAACCCCTCGGAAATTAATTTCAATCATATATTTTATGGAGTAAATTAAAATTGTATGTTCTATGAAGGTGTTGCAGATTAGGGATGACAAAAGTGCATTATCACTATTATATTCTATGGTATAATTTAGAAACATATATTCTATGGAGGCATTACAGGTTGACGGATGATAAAAGTGCATTATATATGCCACTTATTATATTTAATATGTATTATATTCTATACAATCACTAGATATAATTAATATTTCAATAATATTTTATATAATGACTAAATATGCCACTAATTAATTAATATTGTCTTGCATATCATAGTAATATTACACTAATATCCATAGTCCATCAGAAATCAATTCAAATAATATATGGAATAATTTAGAATCATGTAATCTATGGAATAATGTAGTACATAATCATGGTTAAGTGATAATAATAGACTTTATTGGTAATTAATTCGGTGTCTTTATCTTATTTGATGGTGTGTATATTTTTATATATTATCAAATATATGGTCAAAATCGTTTTAAATATTAATTTTTACATTTCCAAACAAAATGATTCATATACTTACAATTGAAAATTTATTTTTAGAAAAACTGAAATTATCCTCAAAATAATTGATGGAATATATTTAACTTTCAATATGATTCGGGATTTTTTTTTTTATTCTTTTGGGATTCATTAGTTTATATAATCACATTGAAATTATATAGATTGAAGTCATATATTCTATGGAATCAATACTATATATGTTGATAGTTAATCATTATTTCTATGAAATCTATACTACATATATCCATGGTTAATTGATAATTTAAGATTTTTTTCCCATGTAAAAAGTATACCATGTAACTCGTATTGTCATCACTATAGAAACTTCAAAGTGTTTAATATGATTAATTGAATACTAATTATATATTTAATTCCCAATATATCATTGATATCATTTCTAAAAGAAGGATTTACTGCTATTATTAGTAACATAATTCCATCAACTCCCTCTTTATATATATATAGATACAAATTACAAAGTGACATGTCATTTATGGGCAACAAGAGAAAGTTCTTATTCTACAAAAAAATAAAATTAAAAAAAAAATTGAAAATAAATGTAAGGTGAACATCTAAAAATAATACATCATTTTAAATGTATTAATTGTATTTTAATATTATTTCCTATTATGACTATAGAATTGTAAATGTATTTTAAAAGTTGATAATTTTTGCATTTCTTCTCGGTTTTACATATATAATGTATCAAATTAATCATCTTTTGATGAACTTCAATTTGACATCCATATTGGTGAAAAAAGTATTTTTCACCCCACTATGAAAATGTATTAAGTTTTTTACACCGTTCGTAGATAAACTAATTTTTTCATCCCAGAAAGTGCAAAAGACATTGTGCGATGAATATGCGACAGTTGCGCGAT